ATGGCTGCAAGGACCTCTGGATCACTAAGAATCTCATTGAGTCCAGGCATTCCTGCCATGCCCGCTCCCATCCCAGGCATTCCTCCTGGGAAATTACCAGGCATGGCTCCAGGAAAGCCACCTGGAAAAGAGCCATACTGAGCTCCTGATTGTCTTCTGGCTTCTTCCTCCCTCTGGGCTTTTTCATGCTCTTCTTGAGCCTTCTTAACTCTTTCTATTCTTTCTTTGATCTCTCGTTCTTCACGTTTTCGCTCATACTTTCTCCGATGTTCAGCAATTTTCTGCGCCCTTGGCTGAACTTCTTTAAGCATTGCACTTGCATCCTCATCATAATCCAGTTTACAAGCAAGGGCAAGATCATGGGTTGCTTCTTCCCAATGGCCCAGAAGTCTGTGTGCTTTCCCTCGCCACTTGTACGGTTGGGCTGAATCAGGATTTATTTCAATGGCTCTGTCACAATCTCGAATGGCAGCATTTGGCTTCTGCAATTTGATGAAGACAGTGGCTCTCTTGGCATACAGAATGGCCAAGCGAGGATTCAGCTTGATGGCATCTGTGAACAAGTCAATGGCTTTCTGTAGTTCACCATCATTTAGAGCATCAATGGCAGCTCCTTCCTTTTCATTTGCTTGATCCATCATCTCCCCAGTTATCTCTGCATTTTCATCTCCCATTCCTTGCGGGGTATCAGTATCTGGCTCAATTACACCTTCATTGTCGATCTCTAAATCACTTTCTTCACTTGATGGCTCATCTGTCTTTATGTTTTGCCCCATCTTCTTACTATCTGCATTTTCTTCCTTGATATTTTCTTCTGATTTAGCTTTCTGAGTAGCAGGTGGTACTTTACCCCTCATGCTCTCCACCCACTCCCTCAGGGAGCGCATTTCTTCGGTGTGCAAGACGCTCGGATCTTGCTTACACATTTTCACGAAGGCCCGAAGCTCGTTTACTTTACGGGGATCCATGGTCGGCAGACCACGGGCGGCTGCTGACGAGGCTGCGGGCCGATCCCAGGCGCAGACGAGGGCTCCGCAGCCCCTTACTGTTTTCTATACCATTTTTTTTCTAACAAATTTTCCTAGTTTATTAATCTTATCAAAGTATTAGATTTTGGGGTTTTTTGTTTAATGCTTTATTATTATTTATTAACTTTATTGAAAATCAATAATTACATATCATTTTAAAAATTGTAGACAGGGCTGGAGAGATGGCTCAGTGGTCTAAAGCACCTACTTAGAACAAGCTTGGCAAAGCATCAGGGACCGCGGTTCAATCCCCCA